ACTGGTCTTTAATGTTCTTTAGTATACATCAACTAATGGCAGAAGAGGCCCAGGAGAACTGATAAATGAGTGAACTTAGATAAATTAATTCACCTCTCTAGGTCTTATCTGTAAAGTGAGGGGGCTGATATTCAAGGTTCATTTCAGATCTAAATTTCTATGATTCTATGATTCTAAATGTGCTGAATGGCAGGGCAAATATTGCCTAGGATTCAAAATTTGTCATATAGAGAAATGAGGAATTTAGTATATATATGTGTATATGTATGCACACACACACACACATATACATGTATTAGTCCAAATTAGAATTTTTAAATAAAATGGATACAAACATTCTAGTATAAATACATACACACACAGATAATTCTTTTTTGAATGTGCCTTTCATAAAAACTATCCAAGTCATCTAGTGTAGTCTTTACTTACCTGGAAGATATCTTGATTGTCTCAAGTAGTACTGTTTGGCAGCTGAACTGGATGAAAACTCAGGGTCATTTTTTAAGACAGCAGCAGGCAAACTCCTGTTTTCCCCTCCTGACTTACTGGAGCTTGAGCGTATGGGTTCTGGTACACTGAAAGTAAATATACAAAATAGTATCAGAGTATACAAAACAAAAATGGTGTTTTCTTACTTACTCTTCATAAATCCTTTTAGAACAGCTAATGTTTCCCCTAAGTTTTCTTTAACAGAAATATTGTTTGGTACTAGCATCAATTAGGTGTTAACCTTGCTCTTCAATTTATAGTATGGTGAAGAGAAGATCATTTCATACTGTATTACATCAGGTGACAGTAACTAATTGGTTAAATAGACTAACTGCTTAGTTAGTTACTACAAATGGTGTTCTAATCTTTCAGAAAAATGAAGTTTTCTTAATTTAATAGTTTTATAGGTTTATAATCAGTCTGAAGATAGTAGGAAGGTAAGTCAATCATGGTGTGCTAGCAGTTAGCTCTGGCTTAAAGCTACTTGTTACATTTTTAGTGTGAACTTCAGATAACACACTTATTATACTCCCAGATATCTGCTACAAATCAGGGCTTATTTGATTGTTTAGAGTTAAGTAAGTGATAATAAAAATTAAACTTAAAAGTGTGTGCATACATTTTCCTCCCCAAATTCTGGTTGTCAGCTCACTCCTGAACTGCTCTATAAACATTGTGTAACTCAGCGGGAACGTGTTAGCTTAGGGAATGAAGTTATCACCAGACTAGAGGACTGGTGACTGTTGGCTAATTAGTTGGCTATAATAATCATTGGCATGATCGGCAAGTTACAAAAGGGTGTTTTGATTTATGGGAAGGGAAGGATAAGGGAAGGATTGTTGTGAGGGGGTAGATTAAGTAATAGGAGGGCAAGGTAGTGGGTGGAAGAAAAGCAATAGATCAAAGGGGTGTATAAAAGGGTATTCAGACTTAAGGGAATGGGAGGATAAGGAAGGGATCACTGGGGGTGGGATAGTTTAAGTAATAGAAGGGCAAGGTAGTGGGTAGAAGTTGAGGAAATAGGAGGGTTAAGAAAAAAGAGATATGCACAAAGATCAGGAGTAGAATCTCTTATGGAAAGTATGTATATTTGTATGTATGTATGTATGTATGTGTATATATGTATATGTGTATGTACATATCAATATCTATATAAATATATCCATGCTTAATTGTAGTGGGGGGGTAGAAGGGAGGAGAAAGGAGGGAAAAAGTAAAAAATATATAGCAGAGAACAAAAAACCTACAAGGAAGCAAAGAAAAGATGGACAGCTATCAACATAATACACAGTATTTAATATATAGGCTTTCTTGAAATAAACGTTATTGCTATATATTCTGAATCCTCTCCTATTTTCTGCTGTGCACGTGGTATTTTTTTCTTTTCTTATTTTATATTTGTTTATGATATGTTTCTTTTTCTTTTCTTATATATTTGTTTTAGTATTTGTATGACTTCAAGGCCATTTACCATCCCTGGATACTTTTTGCCATCTTATCAATGCCCTTCATAAAATATGTATGGTGTGCCAAACTAAACATAAAAATGCAGAGGTGGTCTGGGCAGGACAGTGGGACTATCCCCTCTCATTACTGCTAGAAGCTGAGCTACTCTTAATGAAGTCCAAGAGTCAATCAGCTTTCTTGACTGTCCTGTCATACTATTGACCCAAGTTAAGCTCGTACCCCACTAACATCCCCAGATCTTTTTTAGAAAACTACTGTTACCCATACTTCTACATCTTATAGTTGTGAAGTTGATTTTTATAGCCCAAGTGTAAGATTTTGACATATCCTGCTATTTAATTTCATTTTACTAGCTTCAGCCCACTGTTGTATCTTTCTGAATCCTGATTTTGTCATACAGTGTGTTTTCTTCCTCACAGATTTCTGTCATCTGCAATTTGATAATCACGTCCTCTGCTCCTTTATCCAATAGCCTTGATGCACTCTTACTGGAGTCTTCCTTGAGAATGAGCATTTAATCAGTTCTAAATTCACCTAACTGTACTATTGTTTAGGCCACTTCTCTTTTTTGAAAATCAAGACCACTTTTACCCTTTTCCAATCTCTTTTCCATAAGCTTTCTAACACCACTGATGGTGGCACAACAATCACAACTTTCAATTTGGTAAGTACCCTAGGATATATTTTACCTCAGCTAAGAGGCCTGAATTCATCAGGAGGAGCTAGGTGTTCTCTTACTATCTGAGTTTAGTGACCTGTAAGAATCATACCCATTAACCAAGGGCCATATTAACTGTCACCTTCCTTCATGAAACCTTCCCTGATCTCTCCCTACTCCTTAGCCAGGGGTAATGTCTCTCTCCTCTGAACTCTCTTAAGCACTTTTATCTCTATTATGGTACCAATACATTATTTTAAAGTAATTTGATTTCATGTATTTATGACTATTTGATTGTAAGATCCTTGAGGACAGAAACTATGCCTTTTTCATCTTTACATGAGCTGCAGCACTTAGCACAGTGCTTTGTAATCAGTAGATTCTCAATATATTTTTGTTGAATGAATTATTCTCATCATTATAAACTTTTTGATTATTTTGGGGCCTTTATTACTGTCTAGAATCTCTTTATGAACAAGTTTATAGAGGGTACTGTGAATATGAAAAAAATATATTCAATTAAATTAGAATCAGATAACCTGGGGTTGAATCTTAGTTCTATTATTTGCCAGTTATATAATTCTGAGTAAATCATTCATCTGAGCCTTTGTTTCATCTTCTACAAAAGGAAGATAATAAACTCACACCACTTCCTCCAGGGTTCTCATAAGGATATCAAATGGGATAACTCTTTAAAATATTTTGTAATGAATATGTGATATTCAATATGTATTTATCTGAATATTGGCCATGTACCTAGAAATCTACAAAACACAGTGGGATTTTCTAAAGGAGCATGAAGCATGGTTCTTGCTTTCAAGGAATTTGCAATGTCAATCTCACAAGGTATACACATATCAAACAATTAAGAGAATCATGTTAAACCTTTTGTTCTTGTTTCTGATTGGGGGGGCGGGATTAGTGAGGGGAAGGGAATAAGGAGCAGGAATTGTGATATAAATTAGGGAAGTTTATCCATTCTCACTTTACCATAGTGTAGTGCATGGACTACCACCTTTAAAATCTAAGTTATTTCAAATCCTGGTTTGGGAAGAATTGTACTATTTCTCCATTCTCTTTACCTTGTTCCCCATTCCTCACCCCTCCCCCAAGGGAAATTTAATAAATTTTCAATTAGAATGAGAACTGTGTAGGTTTTTTTAAAATTCCTACAGTTTGTTGAAAATACAATTCAAACATAAAATGAACCTCTCAGTAGGTGCCTGAACTTTCTTTTGGGAGGAGGGAGACATTTGAACTTGTATGTATGTAAGTGAGAGATAAACACATTATCTACTTAAAAACTGCCTTGATCTCAACTCTGGTTAGCACACTTTCACCTTTACTGAATTTTCTCATCCCAAACTGAGAATACTAAAAAACAAAAAGACATTAAAAAAAGCAAACATCACAGTCAGCATTCTCTGTGAATTAAGATTTATATACATAAGTGTATATATTTTTAAAAAGCCAAAACCATGGCAAACCAGGATTCAAACTGGGCAATCTTAGGTTTTCAAGGTAGCAGCCCATACACTACATGATGGCAAATAGCTGTTAGACAAGCTTCCCTAATTTGTATCATCCCTTGTCTCACTGCCTTCTCTTGAGTACCTAGAAGAAAAAAAAATTAAAAATAAATTTACCAAAGTAAATACCTTTTCATAACTCTTAACAATATTTAACCCCTCTTTCACTCCACCCAGAGTGTCCTTCACCTAATTTGTCAGTTATGAAAAAAAAAATCAAAGACTAAACTCTAAAAAAATTTTCAGCAAAAGTTATAAAAACTTCCAAAAGGTTTCTAATCTGTTTTTTCATCAACAAAGTAAAACTCTAACATCACGCTGGGGTAGGGCTCACCTGCTCATTTGCTAATAGTCATACCCACTGTAAAGAGGTATTTTTCAGCAAATGGGCCATAACATATGTTATATATTTTGTCAATCACAGAGCCTAATTTAGAATATCTTTTAAAGGTTTATAAAAAAAATCAGCTATAAATCCTATACTACACATAGCTTAAATTCATTATATAACAACTTTAACAAAACAAAAACTACCACATAACAGTTATCATCAACAATACTTTTTTTTTTAAATGGCACAGTGTGGTAGAAGTAAAGATTCCTGTCCACTATGAAACACAATGAAATGGTTTGGAAAAAAAACAAGTGAAAATAACTGCCATTTTTTAATCAACCAAAATTAACTGAAGAATCAATAGAATTTAATGCCTGGATATGGGAGATAAGAAGAGAAAAGAAACAATCTCCAAGAATCTTTTCTTATAATAAAGTTGCCATGAGCTAAAATAACCTTCACTTGTTGCAATGGAAGCCTTACCTAAATGCCAAATCCTTTTTCTTCTTTTCTTTTGGAACAGAGATGCTGGGCTTCTTGGAATGTGAGACTCCAAAATCAAAGTCGTCAATATCTTCCCAGCTATCTCCAGTTTTGAGCACAGTCTGACCCCAACGCCTTCTACCATTTTTATGACCCACTGCAACATTGTGCTTCTGTGGTTAAAAAAAAAAAAACAAAAACAAAAACAACAAATCAGTCATAATTACTTCATATTTATATAGTCCTTTAGATTTACAAAGCATTTTCCTCATAATCATCCTATGAGGTAGTTAAAGTAGTTAAAATTTTATTATTTCCATATCAAGGTGAAGAAACTGAGGCTCAGTCTGAGTGCTGGAGTGGGAATGTGACCTCAGTTCTCTTGACTCTAGTTATCATACTCTTAATACATCACACTTGCCTTTTATGATTAACAAATGTTTATTGAACACTTATTATTTGCAAGATACTGTGTTGGACACTAAGGGTACTTGCCCTCAATTAACTTACAATCTAGTTGAGGTAAGAAATAATTCATGAAAGATTATTTAATAATAACAGGCAACAAAATAAAGACTAAATTATGTAGAGTGGTTTCCAAATTCATTTGGCCTACTGCTCTCTTTAAAAATAAATTACTCAGCGCTCCCCTGGGGTTAGGTCAGGTTAACCCTTATTTTTATTCAATGCCCCACAACTGTACCCAAGGCTACTACCGGCTCCCCTCCCCTGATTGTTCCAGTGCTAGCCAGGGGTGGTATCTTCCACTTTGGGAACCTATGTCTAGACTGTAGACAGTAAGTCTTATAGGAATTAAGAAAAAAGAAAGCTCTCTCTGATCTGGAATAACTGGAAAAGATTACATGGAAGAGGTCGGCTTTGCACTACTTCAAAAGATGAATAGTACACAAAGAAATGGAAATGGACATTCCAGTTAGGAGTAGCCATGTGAGAAAACACATGAGTTGGAAGAACCATTCTCCAACATATAAGTGGTCAAAAGACATAAACACTTTTCAAAAGTAAAAATGCAAATGATCAACAACCCTATACTACATTTCACTACACATAGGAACATTCTTTCTGTCACTGACTACCTGGATTGATAAATGCTCAGGAATGGGATTACTGGGTCAAAAGATATGTACATTTTAGTGGTTTTTCTTACATCATTCCAAATTATTTTTCAGAATGATTGGACTAATTTACTGATTCACCAACAGTGTGTTAGTGGGCCTGTTCCACCACTGCCCCTCCAACAATTACTTTTTAAAAAATCATATTGCCAATCTGTTGGGTCCTAAGTGAAACTTCAGAATTGTTTTATTTTCATTTTTTTTATTAGTGATTTAGACCACTTTTTCCATATAATTGTTAACAATGTGCAATTCTTTTGAAAACTTTTTGTTCCCATCCTTTCACCATTTATTTACTGGGGAGTATTTTTAAGTTAAATGTATTTGTATCAATTCCTTATATATCTTAGATGACAGATTTTTATCAGATATATGTGATGTAAAAGTTCACCCTCCCCCCAAGAATATGGGTTATTTGTACTTCTATCAATACAAAATCTTCTAAATTTTTTTGTAACTGAAATTGTCTACTTGGCCTTTAACAATCTCTATCTCTCATAAATCTGAAAGATATGTCCTTCAGTTCTCCTTCCTTTTTGGTGTACTTTTTCATATTTATGTCACATATACCTTTGAGGCTTCCTATGGAATACAGTATAAGATTATGACATAAAATTTAATTTCCGTCAAACAGCAGCATTACAACATTACATAAAAGAAGATATACTAAGAATAAGAAATCTAGGAAATAGGGAGGGGGAAGCATGGTAGAGAGCATTTGGATGAAGATCAAAACAGACATATACAGAAACAATATCATCTTCACAGAATAATACACACTACGTAAGGAGGAAGTGGAACCAGATGAGGAATTCAGGAAACAGATCCAAAGCCTGGGATGAGAATATGGAATAGTAGTAATGGGGGACTTCAATCACCCAAACAAACTGCAAAAGATCTCTCACTGCCAAAGGCAGAGCATCTAATCATTTCTTGACTTGACTAAATAGTAATTTTTTTTCCCCTCAAAAGATAGAAGAATTTTTTGTATTTGATTCTCACCAAAAAGAAGGAACTGGTTGCTGGGGTAGAAATGAGCAGAACCCTGGTAGTAAATGAGAACTTCATTTAGAATTTGTGATAGAGGGGCAGCTTGTTGGCGTAATGGATAGAGCACCAACCCTGAAGTCAGGAGGACCTGAGTTCAAATCTGCCCTCAGACCAAACACTTGACACTTACTAGGTGTGTGACCCTGGGCAAGTCACTTAACCCCAACTGCCTAAAATAAATAAATAAATGAAAGTATATTAGATTAGAATTTCTGATAGAAAAGTAAGAAAAATCAGGAATGATCTGATATGCAGCCTAGATTTTGGTGATCTCAAAGGATTCAAATAATAGTTAGGATCCCAGGGAGCAAAATTCTATACAAGAAGTAACGAGAAAGTGGACCCTCAAAATTTAATTCTGAAGCTACAAAGAAAAACAATTCCAATGAAGAATAACAGGCAAAGTCATTTAAGACTGATATGGATATACAAACAACTCATTAATTAATTTATATTTTTAAAAGACACATGAAGAATATGAATGCAAAGGAAGGTAAATATGAATAAATTAAGAAACAATATAATTATTTAAGAATAGCATTAAGAGCACTGAAACTGAATGAGGTGAGGCTGGTGAGGAAGGTGAAGAACAATAAAAATTAGGTTTTTAGTCATATAAGGGAAATTGGGGTGGATGCTACTTGGAGTAGATGAGGAAATGATAACTAACAACACAGAGAAGGCAGAGCTGCTCAACTCATACTTTATTTTCTCTGCCAAGTAGAAAGAACTTTGGTATGTAAAAGATGGAACACAAATAACTAGATGGTAGATAAAACTTAAGATAAATAAGCAAACAGCAAGAGATCATTTAACTGCTATCTGTACTTGAACAACAAGAATTCTTTCTACAATACACTTGACAGGCAGTCAACTGGCGTTGCTTGAAGATCTCCAGTGAAGGGGAATCTATGGTTCTTGGCCTAGATGAACTACATCTTTAGGGGATGAAAGAACTAGCAGGCATGATGGCTAATTCAATATCAGTGATCTCTGAGAGATCAAAGAAAATATGGGAAATGCAGAAGAGAAAGAAAATGTGCTGACTTGCTTTTAAAAGGAAAAAAAACAGACTGTGCTAATTTTATGCCAATGAGCCTGACCCTCATTTCTGGCAAAATTCTAGAGTATGTTATTAAAGGAACTCTCGTTAAACACGAAGGCCAATCAATGAAGGAGAAAGACCACAAAACTTGGAATGAGAATGTGTGCTGCATCACATCTCAGCCCAATGGCTACATCACTTCTGAGTAAGTCATTTCATCCCCCTAAACTCTAGTTTTCCCATTTGTAAAAGGGGCTAATAATAACAACACATATTGCACAATCGTGTGAATTCAACTGAAATGAGGTTTGTAGAGTATCTTGTAAACCTTAAAGCTCTACGTAAATTTCAGCTACTGTCATCACTATCACCATCATCACTATTAATCTATTATTATTACTGCTAAGTGACCGGTCAACAAGAATGATTATGCCCTTATTATGTGCCAGGAGAGAAAAGAGTGATCACAAAGAGTCAGTTATGCCAAATTTAAATGATTTCCTTTTTAGATAGGTTTAATAGACTAGGAAGTGATGAAAACGCTACACACAGATGTAGTTTACCTAGATTTCAGCAAAGCATTTTACAAACTCTCATGTTTCTTTTGGAAATGATAAAGAAATGTGAGATGATAGCATCGTTAGGTGGGTTTGGAATTGGTTGAATGGCTAAATCCAAACAGCAGTTATTAATGGTTTGATCTCATCTTGGAAGAAGGGCCCCTGAGCAGCGTGCTAAGGATGTGTACCTTGCCTTGGTGGTATAACATTTTTATCAATGACCTGGATAAAGGCATAGTTGGCATGTTCATTAGATTTGCAAATGACACAAAGGTGGGAGGGAAACTAACACACTGGATGACCATCAGGATTCAAAAAGATGTTAGGTTAAGAGTATGGGACTAATCTAAGATGGTGAAATTTAAGGATGAGATAAGATAAATATAAGTTCTCAATTCTGGATTCCAAAAATCAACTTTACAAGAATAAAGTAGGAAGGTGGGGTTGGGTAACAGCTTGTCTGAAAAAAGGACTGGAGTTTGTAGTAGACTGAAAGTCTAATGAGTCAACAATGCATCAGCAGCCAAGAAAGTTAATGCAATCTTACGCTGTATCAAAAATGACATAGCAACTAGGAGTAGGTGGGTGATAATACCACTATACTTTGTCCTGATTAGACTGTACCCGTTATGTTCCATTCTGGGAGGGACACTTATAAGCTGAGTGTGTTCAGAGGACTGCAAATAGGATGATGAAGTGACTTGAGATCATGTTCTATAAAAAGATTGAAGACACTGGGAATGTGTAACCCAGAGAAGAGAAGACTTGCAGGATTAAGACAGCTGCTTCCAAGTAAATGAAGAATAATTAGCCTTATTCTACTTGGCCTCCAAAAGATGAACTAAGAAGTTGCACATTTAGTCTTGATATAAGGGAATACTTCATAATAATCAGAACTACATAAAAGCAGAATAAGCTGCCTCAGGTGGTCACACTTGCTCATCATGAAAGGCTGGATGATGACTTTCCAGATAGAGAGAAGTGGGGATTCTTGTTCAGGTATAGGCTAGAGAAGACAGCCTTTGAAGTTATTTCCAGCTTTGAGAATCTGGGATTCTTTAATTAGAAAGGAATGGATGAATTTGAATGATATCATAAAGGAAGAATCAATTGAACTTAGTAACAATTAGAAATGGAAGAGGAGGGAGAGGAAGGACTCACAAGTTAACTAACATTTTGAGTCTAGCTAATTAAGAAAAATGGTAAAATGAATGGAAAAATGGAAGCTGGGAGAGGGAGCTACTCTTGAGGAGAAGATAAGGAATTTAATTTTAGATGTTTTGAGTTGGATAAAAATGAGGGAAATCTAAGTGAGTATGTTCAGAAGGCAGC